GTTTTGCCTTGATGTGGTTTATCTGAAAGCTTATAATGCTAAAATTTGGGTTTCAATAGCCATGGTGGGCTTAGCACAGACAGCCCATTGTGTTATTTTGTGCTTCACAAAAAAAAGAAAAAAATTATAATTTTATGTTTTAAATGTGCTGCACTGAGTATCAATGGATGTTTCAAGTGATGGATGTTTGTCTAGGTATTATAGAACACGATAATGATGTTAAAGTTTGTTTTACAAGCACATTATTATAAAATAATGTTTTACAATATATATATATATTAGAATATTACATGCCACTGTACTAAGTGTAAAACAAATAATTCATATGATGGATATTAACTAAATATTCTGACATTAATAACATCAGCAGATGTTCCACATAATGATGAAACTGTAACAATATTAAAAAATGTCTTATATAATGTCAGTCAGGGCATTATGAAACTAATGATATTAAAGGATGTCTTATATAAATCTCAGTCAGGGCATTATGAAACTGTAATGATATTTAAAGAATGTCTTATATAATGTCAGTCAGGGCATTATGAAACTGTAATGATATTAAAGGATGTCTTATATAAATGTCAGTCAGGGCATTAGGAAACTGTAATGATATTAAAGGATGTCTTATATAATGTCAGTCAGGGCATTATGAAACTGTAATGATATTAAAGGATGTCTTATATAATGTCAGTCAGGGCATTAGGAAACTGTAATGATATTAAAGGATGTCTTATATAATGTCAGTCAGGGCATTAGGAAACTGTAATGATATTAAAGGATGTTTTATATAATGTCAGTCAGAACATTATGTAATTGTAATGATATTAAAGGATGTCTTATATAATGTCAGTCAGAACATTATGTAATTGTAATGATATTAACGGATGTTTTACATAATACCAGTCAGAGCTTTATATCACAGTAATTACATCAAAATATTTCCCATGATGGGTGTCAGTCAGAGTTTTTCATCACAGTAATTACATCAAAATCTTTCCCATGATGGGTGTCAGTCAGAGTTTTACATCACAGTAATTACATCAAAATCTTTCCCATGATGGATGTCAGTCAGTTTTACATCACAGTAATTACATCAAAATCTTTCCCATGATGGGTGTCAGTCAGTTTTACATCACAGTAATTACATCAAAATCTTTCCCATGATGGATGTCAGTCAGAGTTTTACATCAAAATCTTTCCCATGATGGGTGTCAGTCAGAGTTTTACATCACAGTAATTACATCAATGACTGTTTCTGTTCGGTGCACTACTACATTGTAACTAACTCATCACCTAACTAAACATGTCAACAAAGAAACATCATGTTATAAAAATGTATCATACAATCTGCTTTTAATTGAACACTGTTTTAATAATATATCAGAGGCTAGAAATACAAATTCAGCAATAACAGGTTTATTTAAATCTTGGCATCATAAATAAAAAATAGGTTATCACATCAAAATTTCTTATATGCGTTATATATTCATTTTAAAGAACAATGCCTTTATTAATTAGTCTTAGCTTTTGATGTATCCAACAGGAATAAAAAAAATTTAAATACAAAGATGGGCATTACCTTAAAGGACTTAAATTTTTATAAACCTTTAAATTAATAGTAGCATTGAAATTTTCATTTGAAGGAGAAGATAAAACACGAGTCATAATGTGTTATCTCCAGTTTTACCACTGATCAAATCAGAATTAATGTACTTCATACCAAAGTTTACAAAAGAAAAAATAATTCCAACACATATTTCGTATATATAATTTGGGAAACCAGAATGACTGATTTAACTAAATAAATAAAAGATTGAAATGTAGATCGAGTTCAATTTCACCAGATCCATCTCTCCGTTTTCTTTCTAGTATAAACTACTTGATTTAGGCTTACATAAACTAAAATTCAATGTACAAAACAGAAAACAAGTCACATCAAAGAAAAATTTCTATTTTATTTCGCCAGTAGAAGCTAAGACACACACATAATTCCACAGAGGATTGCCTATCACCAGTATCAACAACAAACCAAGCCACCACCACAAATTAATGACAACACGGTCGCTAACAGACGTTCTTACCATGTGCCAAGTTATGTCAAGCAGCATGGAAGGAAAAAATAGTTACTTTTATTTATTTATTTATACATAACAAAAGAAGTCACTGTAAGCTTTCAATCAATACAACGTATTAACCTAACGAAAACCTACGTTTTACTTTTATCTAATGTCAAAATATTTTAATGGTTCTTCAGCGGAACCTATTTTTTAATAAATAACATATAATTAAATTATCTTGAAATGTATGTAAAAGATCCTTACAAGTCTACATAATGAGAACAAGAAATATTTTTTAAAATCGCTGTATATATATATATATATATATATTAGAGTAATAAAAAAAAAATACTTCTCTAACTTCATTCTTTGTTTTCCATCTTTAAATCATTTCTTAGTATTCATGAAAACTTTGTTAAATACACCAATATAAAACATTTTTCGTTACCACCCGTTT